TACTTTCATGCTATAATCATGCGATAATCAGATTAGACGCTTAAAAGTTATCAGTTGTGTGTGTGTGTTTATAGCTAAGGGATGAAACACGGACAAACGTTCTTACATATTCTCAGCACATGAGAGATGAACATGTCTTATATGGGGTTATGTTACATATTCTAACACACTATCTCTTACGCCCTCACACGTACATTAGCAAATTCGACATGGATTATTTAAGTCGAACCTTCCTACTCAATTCCATTTATTAACTGCGCCTGGAATGTTGGATTTCGGTACTTAGTGAATTTGAATTGCATAAGTTTAGATGCTTAAAAGTTATCAGTTGTGTGTGTGTGTGTGTTTACAGCTAAGGGATGAAACACGAACAAAAATTCTTACATATTCTCTCAGCACATAAGAGATGAACATTTCTCATACGGGCTTGTGTTACATATTCTAACAGCCACTATCTCTTAATCCCTCGCACGTACATTAGCAGATTTGACATGGATTATTTAAGTCGAACCTTTCTACTCAATTCCATTTATTAACTGCGCCTGGAATGTTGAATCTTGGGGCTTAGTGAATTTGAACTGCATAAGTGTAGACGCTTGAAAGTTATCAGTTATGTGTGTGTTTACAGCTGAGGGATGAAACACGGACAAACATTCTTACATATTCTTAGCACATGAGAGATGAACATGTCTCATATTGCTTATATTACATATTCTAACAGCCACTATCTCTTAAGCCCTCCCACGTACATTAGCAGATTTGACATGGATTATTTAAGTCAAACCTTCTTACTCAATTCCATTATTAACTGCGCCTGGAATGCTGGATCTTGGGGCTTAGTGAATTTGAACTGCATAACTGTAGAAGCTTAAAAGTTGCCTAACCTGCATCTGGAATGTTGGATCTTGGGGCTTAGTGAGTTTGAACTGCACAAGTGTACAAGCTTAAAAGTTATTAACTAGACCTGGATTGGTGGATTGTAAAATTCATTGCTAATACTGCTATTTTTCACACTCTACTAACTCTTGTACCTGTTAAAGCCAAAGTTCAAAAATTAATGGCCCAAACAATTTGGCAAAACTTATATTTTTTTTTCTCCCTTCAACTTGCAATGGAAGGAGAAAATATAAGATTT